AACAACAATATCATCAACTTCATCCATTCTTTCTTGTGTTTAACCTCAATTGATTAAATTGCATTCATTTTTATTTTATTGCATTTGCATTAAAAAATCCCAAAATATTTTCTTTAGAGTCTTAATCAGTTGAGTAATCACATAACTGTTTAGTGCTGTGAGTCTCTTGGGAAACGATACTTGATCTTACCATTTATTATTACTTGATACAATTCAGTTACACTTGTCGAGGGTTAACAAGTTTTTGACTCCATTTTCGGGGATTGAAAATTTGTTTAACAAGAATACATGTCTCTTCCTTTTGGCTATAAAACTGAAAAACCAGGACAAGTTTGCAAGTTGTTGAAGTCTTTATATGGACTCAAACAGGCCTCTAGACAATTGAATTACAAGCTGACAACTACTTTACTGTCTTTTAGGCTACATACAATCAAAATCAGATTATTCACTTTTCGTCAAAAGTGATTATGCTCATATTACCATCTTGTTTATGTAGATGATATAGTTTTGGCAGGTGATGACATCCAGAAAATCCAAATTGTGAAGGCTCTATTGAATGTAAAGTTCAAGATTAAAGACCTAGGCCAACTCAAGTATTTTCTGGGCTTAAAATTTGCAAGATCTGAACAGGGCATTAATTTGTCACAAAGGAAGTATGCTATAGAGTTACTTGAAGATGTAGGATTGTTGGGATGTGAACCTGTTTCTACTCCCATACAGCTAGGCATAAAATTTCCAAGACAGAAGGGAATCCCTATTCATATGTGCATGCCTATAGAAGACTTTTTGGTAGGTTACTATATATAACCAACACAAGACCAGATCTATGTTTCACTGTTAGTACTCTTAGTCAATTTCTTTCCAATCCTTTGGAAGATCACTATGCAGCAGCAATATCTGAGATATATCAAGAACAATCCAAGACAAGGATTATTCTTTCCCTCCAACCCAAAACATGCTCTCAAGGATTTTAGTGATTCTGATTGGGCTGCTTGCCTTGACACTAGAAGGTTTGTGATTGGTTGTAATGTGTTCTATGGTGCCTCATTAATTAGTTGGAAATCTAAGAAGCAAGGTACTATATCTAGATCATTAACCAAAGCATAATATAGAGCCTTAGCTTCCATAACATGTGAAATTCAAGGGTTAAATATGTTTTTAGTCCCTAAACTATCAAGCGATTTTGTTTTTAGTCCCTCTTTCAAACTAAGGTACTTTTTAGTCCTTCTCCTTTAGGAAAACATAATTTTTCGTCCTCAAAAACCAACGACGTTAAAAAGAAGCTGAGTCGGCTAACGGTGGAGTGTCACGTCATCTTTTTTCTCACACTGAGTCAATCTGACCCTCACTGTTCGGTCACCATCATCATTCAGTCACCATCACAATTCGGGCACCATCACCATTCAGTCATCATAACCATTCGGCCACCACCAATATCGTTCGGTCACCACCAATACCATTCGGTCATTCAGTCATCATAATCATTCGGCCATTACCAATATCGTTCGATCATTAACAATATTGTTCGGTCACCACCAATATCGTTCGATCATTCAGTCATCATAACCATTCGGCCTTACCAATACTGTTCGGCCATTAACAATATCGTTCAGCATTATCGTACAGTAAGGGACAAATTGACTCAGTGTCAGAAAAAAAAAAACATGACGTGGCACTCCACCTTTAGCCAGCTCAGCTTCTTTTTAACGCTGTTGGGTTTTGAGGACGAAAAATTATGGTTTCCTAAAGGTGAAAGACAAAAAAGTACCTTACATTGAAAGAGGGACTAAAAACAAAATTGCTTGATAGTTTAGGGACTAAAAACATATTTAACCCGAAATTCAATGGCTTCTGTATTTGCTCCATGATTTGAAACAACAACCAGTTCCTCTGTTTTGTGACAATCAATCTGCTATACAAATTGCATAGAATCCATCCATGCATGAGAGGACAAAACATATTGAAATTGATTGTCATCTCATAAGAGATAAAGTTCAAGCTGGTGTAATTAAGCTCATGCCCATTCCTACTTTAGCACAACTTGTAGACATTCATATTAAAGCTTTACATCCAGCACAATTTCAATCTTTATTGTCAAAGCTAGCATTAAAGATATATATGTTGCAACTTGAGGAGATATTGGATTTAATTTATTTTCCGTTTATATATGTGTATTTATATTCATATATTTATATTTTGTTTTTATATTTATATTTCATTTTTATATTATTTCAAATAAATATATATATATATATATATATATATATATATATAAACTGAAT